TGGTATACAGTAGAGTAAAAAAGGGTAGGCATAGGTCCGGTTTACATAGAGTAAAGAAAAAGACCGAAATAGATCCGGTTTACACGAGATCAAAAAATAGACGTTGGTCCGGTATAGAATAAAGTAAAAAAAAAAGGTACGCATAGTTTCGGTTAACACGAGAGTTAAAACGGTATTCATAAATCCGGCATATACTATACTAGAAAAATGTAGACGTAGGTCTACTAAACTAGAAATAAAGGTAGATATAGATCCGGTTTACATGAGATCAAAAAAGTAGACATGCGTCCAGCGTACGCTAGAGTAAAAAAAAGAGATTGGTTCGATTTACACACAATCAAAAAGTAGACATAGGTGCGATTTACACGAGATCAAAACGGTCAGCATAAGTCCGGTATATACTAGAATCATAGTAGGTATAGGTCCGATTTACACGAGGTCAAAACGGTCGACATAGGTCCGGCATATACTAGACTCATAGAAGCTAGACATAGGTCCGATTTACACGAGATCAAAACGGTCGACATAGGTCCGGCTTATGCTAGAGTCATTAAAAATAGACATAGGTCAGATTTACACGAGATTAAAACGGTCGACATAGGTCCGGCATATGCTAGAATCATTAAAAGGTAGACATAGGTCCGATTTACACGAGATCAAAAGGGTAAACATAGGTTCGGCATAAGCTAGACTCAAAAAAGGTAGACGCAGGTTCGACTTAAACGAAATAAAATGGTATACATGGTACCGTTTTGCAAGAGATTCTGCAATTAGTCACTCGAAAAATACTTTCTTTGAATAAGGATATCTTGCCATTCTACGTGATGTGCAGTCGGTGCATTGAATGTCCCGTTGATTGAGCCTGGCTCCAGTTTTGTTTTTCAGAATTCAAGTGAGCAAATTAAAACGAGGTAAATCTCTCATGATGAATCAAACAGAAATGCTGAATCATCTGTTCAAATTTCAATTCAGATGACACTTCCAATTGACATATATTTATAATGAAATGAAACAATTGTCACTTGTTAATATATGTACAATGATATACTTCAGTGTATGTCAAGATTAACAGAAATTATGTAAATGAAGTCCTCAATATCTATGGAGAGCAATAATTATTGTATCAAAAATTAATGTTCAAACTATTTATCGGGGTCGTCTCAAAGTTTCGCCATTAATCACTCCTCATGAACCAGACAAGAATGATTGTATCAATTCGTACAGGATATATAATTCATTTTATAAACACTAAATTTATATATTTTATTTTATAAACGCGAATTAATTATTCAATATATATATTAGGGTTATAACTTTATGTAACCCTATGTTCCTGTATTATAAATCGGAAGAACTTTTGTTCAAAAGTAATGAAAAGGGCATTAATTTGTTTTAGTTCTTAAAAAAGATCACATCTAAACCAAAAATTTCGATTTTATTATATTCGCAATAAGGGTAAAAAACTCAAAATATTTCAGAAGCTTTTTTTTTTTCAAATTGCTAATGATTGAATTGAATTAAAAACTTACAAATAAACAAAAACAATTTCTAGAAGGCTCCAGAAAGTTCTAGAAGGCTTCAGAAAGTCCTAGAAGGTTCCAGAATGTCTAAGTGCTACTATACTTATATACAGTTTTAGAAATTTCGTATTCGGGGTGACATTGTTTAAATATTAACTGAATTAAGACTTTCTTCATTATTTCTGAAGAAAAGTTTATCTAATTACGAAACAGGAAATCAATATCTAGTATTATGGGAATTTTATTTTCCAAACACGGTCAACACATTACGCCTGTGTTCATAGTTGATATTACTGATTACCGGCTTTTTCTTTTTTATTCTCAATGATTCCATTATGTTCTCTTTTTTTTACAGGTGGGTAAGGCTGTTATGGTTGTATTTTCTAACAATATCTTGCTGGCCGTGTCTGTAAAAAAAAACATACCCATAACTTTAGATACACACATAAAGAAAAAAAGGATACAGATTACTTTAAGCCGAGATGGAAACCCGACTGACTCAATAACAGTGGTAGATTTTCTACCTAAGCCATCGGCGCACAGTTGAAAGAAACGCAAATTTTTATGTACTTACCCTGTGAATAAATATGCCAAGGACTGACAACAGTGCTCAATTCAGAGAAGGAAAGAGCCTTGTTATATCTATCTATCTATCTATATATATATATATATATATATATATATATATATATATATATATATATATATATATATATATATAATATGCAATTATGCTGTATTAATGTTAATATAAAGTCAACGTCAGACGTTTCGGTCTATTTTAGACCATCATCAGGACATATTCATTAAACAAAACATTAGAACATATAAAATTCAACATGAAAAGACGATGGACACAAGAGCACAACTAATCCATGTTGAATTTTATATGTTCTAATGTTAATTATGTTTTATGTCCTGATGATGGTCTAAAATAGACCGAAAACGTCCGACGTTGACTTTTATTTAACATTAATACAGACTTTATATATATATATATATATATATATATATATATATATATATATATTATGAAATGGACAAAGTCCGACAATTATTTTTAAGACATGTTTTATGTTTATACATTCTTTTTATAGATACAAATATTTAAGTAAATGCACTGTATATAATAAACAGTATCAACGACATTTACCGGCCTGAACGTCCGAGAAATTTTCATAGAAAATATGCGTCCCCGAACCTGTATCCTATACGGAACACATCATATAGCCCGACGTGCTTTTACCGATTGAGCCACAGAGGAGCGTTTCGGTTAGCAAGGTCGATTTTATTGTTTTTAAACTACAATTCTCCGTGATTTTCTCTCATGCATTCATATCTGCTCGATGCGTATCCAAATGGAAACAAATGACGTCACACAATATGAAATGGACAAAATGCGACAATTATTTTTTAAGACATTTTTAAGACATTTCCTATGAAAATTTCTCGGACATTCAGGCCGGTAAACGTTGCTAATACTTTTTTTATTATAAACAGAGCATTTAAAATATTTGTATCTATAAAAGAACGTTAAACATAAAAAAATGTCTTAAAAATACACACATTATATATATATATATATATATATATATTTATTAAATATATATATTTTATATATATATATATATATATATAGAAAATATATATATACCGCCATATACCACTCGACCACTCATTAACATATGACGTATAAACATTTATAAACTACAATCTTCCATGAATCGTAAGATTCAATGGAAGATTGTCCGACAATGTAAACAAATGACCTTGTCTACCATATGTTTTTAAGACATGTTTTATGTTTATACATTCTTTTTATAGATACAAATATTTAAGCAAAAATGCACTGTTTATAATAAACAGTATCAAATAACATTTACCAACTGAACGTCCGAGAAATTTTCATAGAAAATATTCGTCCCATTTCTTAACATAACCTGTTTATCCTATACGGAACACATCAAGATATAGCCTGACGTGCTTTTATGGTGGATTGAGCCACATAAACTGATCTCGATGCAGGTTCATATCTGTCTATGAACGTATTTTCTATGTAAAAAATGACGTCATTCAGTTAGGTAAATGGACGAGGTCCGACAAGGTCGATTTTATTGTTTTTAAAACGTTAAACATAATTCTCCGTTAATTTTGTCTCATGCATTCATATCTTTGTTTACTCGATGCGTATCCAAATGGAAACAAATGACGTCACCATATATGGTGGCCGAAATGGACGTAAATGGTTCGATAATTATTTTTAAGACATTTTAATTACATTTAAGTTATGATAAACAGAGCGATTTCTCTAAATACATTCAGGCCGTTAAACATAAATAAAATGTAATAAATAAATTGTCGTTCCATTTCTTAACATATGACGTTTTTTTATTCGATAAATGGAAGATTGTAGTTTATAACAGTAAATTCGACCTTTTATAAGGTTCAAAAGGCACGCCAGCGTATTAGGATGCAGGTTCGAATCCTGTCTATCTATTCAAAAATGAAATACTGTTTATCAAAACAGAGCATTTGCTTAAATACTTGTATCTATAAAAAACAACGTTAAAATAAATAAAATGTCTTTAATATATAAATTGTATATATATATATATATATATATATATATATATATATGAATGATAGAATAAAGAGCAAAGAGAAAACGTTTATAAATTTAACATGTTTCACTTTTATTAAAGCTTTATCAGAGAATGAAATATGGAGAAAGAAATTCGGGTATTTTTATTTATTCGAAAGAAACGCGTCTGTCTCTTTGAGTTAAGAATGCCATAACTTACACTAACACTGCCTAACAAGTCAAACGTACGTGAAGCCTGCTTAACCAATGACAATCAAACTACGCAAAAAATAAAATTACCAGAATTTCTTTTTTTACCCTCAATATCATTATTTGTTCTTTATCCTATCATTCTATCGGATTCCGATCCATATCTGATTTATATTTGAGATCCCAATTCACACAGACTTGTTTGTGTAAGAAGATAATAATAAATAAAATGAAACTACAAAATTCAACGCAAACAAACCAAACAGAATTTATGCCAAAAATAATTTCAATAATTATCCAAAGCAATAATTAATGTATCAGAGGTAATTACATATAAGTAATTATAATAAGCGTTTATAAAATAATTTTAAATATGTATAAATACACGGTGTCCATAAAGTTCGTGTGCATATATAATTATAAATTATTTAAAGTGCACACTAACTTTACGGACACACTGTATATATATATATATATATATATATATATATATATATATATATATATATATATATATTCTGTGATAATTACTACAATCAATCTTGTCTGATGGGCGAGGAATCACGAAACGCTGAGTCGACGTACGATAATTATTGCCAACTTTAATTACTTATGATACAGTGTGTGCCTGTGTTTGCGTGTGTATGCGCGCGCATTGTGCTGCATGTGCGTAAATATATGTAATATAGCTAATAAAGAAAAGCCATTATCCAAGGCGTAGTCGAGAGAGAGAGAGAGACAGCGGTGGGGAGAGGACGGAAGCGAAAGCGCAAGAAATGTCTCCATAACATCGAGGACTTGAACATGCCTGGTTTTCCTTCGATCTCCTGTCGGCAGCCCAACAGAACAGGTCGGAAGTCGTCTCTTCGGCAGATATTAAAACCCAGCTCGGACTTCTCCCAATGAGACGATATGAATTAGTGGACATATATATGCTGAGCTAGCTCAACAGAGCTAACTCAATAAATAGATATGGACATAGATAGATAGATAGATAGATAGATAGATAGATAGATAGATAGATAGGGACATGCACACACACACGCACACACACACACACACACATAGATAGATAGATAGATAGATAGATAGATAGAAAGAGATAAAACACTTATTACAGTTTTTTGTTAATAAGTATTTCATACACCAGTTCGTGTCTGACGACTTGTAAAAATAATGAAACTTTAAGTTGCACTACAAAAGTAGGTATATGTATATTTATTAGTATATATATATATATATATATATATATATACGTCGCAAATTATACTAATATTGTTTTAAGAGTCGAATGCATGTGATACACGATTGACCAATGAAAATCAAACAACACAATAGTAAAAATACATGTTAGATTTAATAAAAGTGAAACATGCTAGATTGATAAATATTTACTATTTTTTCATTATCTTATCATTCTATCGGATTATATATATATATATATATATATATATATAGAGAGAGAGAGAGAGAGAGAGAGAGATTATATAGTAATATTATCTACTAAATAATAATATATATAATATTATATAGTATATTTTATATATATCGGATTATATAGCGTTAAAAGGTCATTTGATAAAAATTGCCTGAGGATACCGTAAAGTTGAAACCAAGGTAGCAAATTCAAATGGCCTTCTGATTTTTAAAGTATACACACACACACACACATATATATATATATATATATATATATATATATATATATATAGAACAATAAAAATATTAAAAAATTAAAATCTTCAGACACACTGAGTTGTAGATTAATATTCGTTCGTTTCTTTTTTTTATTATTATTATTTCATTTAGATTCCTCGACTAGTTTCGGCCAACATGGCCATCATCAGGAGAAAAAATATTTCTGCTTGCTGGTAGCAGTAAACTACAGAAATGAATGTCTTGATGGAGAAAATGAACTTTTGTCTGGAGTTTTCATTTGTTTTTTTTATTTTTTATTTTTTTAACATGAATCTTTTAACATTCCTTGTGTTGGTCAAACAGTCTCTTTTAAGTTGTTATTTGAGATAAGAACTGGATGGATCTATGCTTCTCTGAATTCCCCAGGTCAGTTTGACAGTTTTATTGGTCCTGGAGAGGGGATGTGTCTCTGTTTAGTGTTTTTGTGTGTTATTTGGTTCTTAGGGAGTGAGTGAGTATGATATGTGTAAGCGTGTGTATTGCTGTGGGTGTGTGTTATCATTTGGCTCATTAGGGAGTGAGTGAGTATGATGTGTGTAAGTGTGTATATTCGTGTGGGTGTGTGTATAAGTGTGAGGCATCAACACCTCCGTAAGTATGTCAGTCTTGTGTGGGTGAGAAATGTGGGTAGGTTTTGATTTGTAAAGTTATATATTAGTACTATTTATATTGTTAAATTTATGGTTTATATATATATATATATATATATACACACACACATATATATATATATATATATATGTGTGTATATGTGTGTGTGTGTGTGTGTGTGTGTGTGTGTGTGTGTGTGTGTGTGTGTGTGTGTACATACTGTTGGACTCTCCGGTTGTTTTCCACGTATGAGTGTCAAGAAGCAGCTCAGTTCCTAGAACCAACAGCCAGACTACCCACACATGATCTGATTTTAGTGGTGAAGGCTTGTGCAGAACCATCCCCGCGTTTTTGAACAACCGAACACAGGGGACTGGGGCACTTAGTGATGCCCTAAGCTCTTCGAACGACTACCCTCAGGTTTTGATTTCCCGTCAGGAACGAATCTACACCCCACTTTTTAGAGAAAAACCACCGTTTGAACCGACGTGTATTTACTGCTCAGCTACGGAGAGCTTCACGAATAACAACGGGGCGTCTATTTAAAGTATGAATATCCACCATAATAATGTTTCGAGTAATAAAATATCAGATTAAAAATAAATCCATTACTTCTACACAGACATGCACACACACACACACACACACACAGAGGCACACACAAACGCATGCACGCACGTACGCATATTTTTCTCTCATAACATTTCTCGAATATTCAGGCCGGTAGACGAAAATAAATAAATATACTGTTTAATAAATAATACGAGATTCCATTAAAAATAATGTTTAAGTAATAAAATCTGTTGGATTAATAAATAAAAAATCCACCTCTTTCTTTACAAATTTGCTTTGTTTACATTATGATACGAAACTAAGGAGATATGTCTATTTCGAGAATCAGAGATTAATCTGTGTTTAAAATCACAATATTATACCCCCCATATATATATATATATATATATATATATATATATATATATGCAACAAAACCGCAAAGTGTTTATACAACCCACTGAACGTCTGTCAGGTGACCGTAGGAAAATTAAGAAAAGAGAAATTAACAATGAATAAACTAAAACCCAACGAAAAAAAAGATATGAAAAAAACGGAAAAATGAATCATAAACTAAGAGAAAAAAATGGCAAAAGATAGACACCTTCCTCAATAGTAACAAACAATGCTCAACACGTAGGCTATCAAGACAGCTAACAGTTAAGTTTCCCAAAGTTACGCCTCAGAAAGAAAAAAATGTTCTGTTCGTTACGTGTGAATCCGTATATTGGTTTCATGCCTCATGAATTCATTGTACTACAGCTATGGGTTAAATAGCAGTAAAAACGAAGCTCTATAGCCTATGTTTACGGTTTATCTACTTGAAGAAAAACCATGAATACAAACACTCCTCGATAATAGAATACACTGAACTCTTTAACCTTTATAGGGCAGAAGTAAAATCCTAAATCAAATCCCTTTCCGAAAAGGAATAGGCTACATCTTACCCTAGACGCATCCACTGCTTCGTAGCTGCAGTACATGTGGCATCAAAACGATCATATGTTATAGACCTCGTGATCATATATACTGAGGATTTTTTTTTTATGTGTGGGTGAATTATATAAGATATATGAAGACAGCTAAGAATCACTATAAAAATGCTGAAAGAAAAACAGTTACTGATTAACAGTAGACGAGAAATAAAGAAGTCTTCGAATTTCGTTCTTTTTTTTTTTTTTTTTTCTAATTTGTTTGTTTCACGTGACAATATTTGTACTGATTGCCTTCCGTATTTTCTCCTTCCTTTTTTTTTCTTTTCTTTTTTTTTTTAACTGAAGGAGTTTGTTTTTAGTACCATTACACTACAAATAAATAAATAACAGCTTCTAACAGCTACTAACTTGACTTATTCTAAGTATATTTTTTAAATGTTGCTTCTCTTATCAACAGTAATTTTATCAGTCAAACGCGTATTATAGCGTCATGGTTAACAAGCTTACATCTCCGATCAAATCATGAGTTCGAGTTTTTAATGGGAACTTCTATTGCGCTGATGATATGCATAACTTAAACGAGTTCAATTATTTAGATATTCGATGAGTGTCCCACTTCTATGGCCTTGTGCCAGACTAAACTGAAATAAGTAAAACGTATGTACAGTTACCAAGTTCCTCTCGCATACTAATTCATAACTATAATAAATAATAGATTAGTAAATAAATAAGCATCATACACGAAGGAGTTCTGTCATTACCAGGTGCTCTACTACCGTGGCCTTGTGTCAGAGTTAATTAGATTTCTAATGTTTCTATTAACAAATCAGTCAAGCCTGATTTTCAGTGGCCGGAATAAAGACAGGAAAGATATTATACGTGCTGTGTCCTTTGTGGATGTTAGCGGTTATAGCTCTCCACAACTTCCTAGCCTTTCTTCTCTTAGTAAGGTTTACCTTTTCACTATCCTTACATTTACACATGCTCTTTAGACAGGCTGGGAAGGAAATATTATGGCACACCTTTTTTATGTCATGTTTCTTCAGGACATAGCCAATCATGGCTCTCCACAGGTTCCGTTTCTTTATTATCTGTAAATTGCCTTGATTTCTTGAGAAAGATAATGGAGTTTGTTGTTGCTTTTTCCACGATTTTGAATTCAAAATAGTCCCACTGGCAATCACCCAAGGCTCTAGAGTCCAATTAGTCAGTTATGTGCCATGCGTGATACACGCTTAGGCGATCATGTAACTTTCGATACGAAGAGGAGGCAGATTTTGTTGCCATTTCTTTCTGCAGTAGATCTGTTGCCATAGAACCCAGTCTGTCCTGCTATTTATCCATAGCTGGAGAGAGAAGAAAAGGATTCATACCTTTCCCAAGGGCATTAACACGTAAGTGAATGTAATGGATTCGACTGGAATTCGAACTCGGCTCTTCGTTTCCTCAATCCGAGCCACTATCCATTACTACTATTCTTAAATTAATCTATTAGTAAAAAATAAAATAAGCCTTTTTTTTTTATCAAATGGTTCTGGGAGTCTACAAAAAAAATTAAGAGTAAAAGCTGTCCATGGGTAAAAAAAACGGCAAGAACTACTGATCACTGTTGTGAATGGGCCTCTTGGGAATTATATCAACAGTAATCCATATTTTTTACTTTCATTATTGACTCCTTCTACCCTGGCTAGAAAGATGATTTTCTCTGCTCTTTACAAAATTTAAGGTTAAAGAAAAAGAAAATAAAAATCTAAGTTAAAGCTACACACACGCCTATATAAAATGCACACACCAGTCATCTATGTACCATCCGTGACACACGCTTAGGCGATCATGTAACTTTCGATACATGACTGGCGAGGTTGCCATTTCTTTCTGCGATAGGCTAGTTACCATCCAAGGCTATAGAACCCGGTCTGTCCTGCTATTTATCCATAGCTGGAGGGAGAAGAAAAGGATTCATACCTTTCCCAAGGGTATTAGCACGTAAGTGAATGTAATGGATTCGACTGGAATTCGAACTCAGCTCTCCGATTCCTCAATCCGAGCCGTTATCCATTACTCATTAGCAGTCCCTTATTCGCCTTTTGCTGGGAGGAGAAGAGATAGGTTCATAGCTTTCTTAAATGAGGGGAAGAAAAATCATATTTAATTCGTTAAACTATAATTTGATTGACTGGTTTGTGTTTTACGGTTTATCAACCTTTAAACAATAATTTGATTACGTAATTAGTAGTAATTTAGTCGAAGGCCTAAATGATTTATTAAATAAATTAAAAATATTTATTTTATAAAAAATTAAAATATTAACTATTTTAAATGTTTTAAATAATTTTCTCTCTGATATTTTTTTTATTCAAAAGACACGATTTTTTATTCCCTGACACTAGATTTTTTTACCAACTCTAACAAAACGAAACTAACGACTTTTCTTACAAGACATTTTTGTAGATCTGTTTTTCCTTTCTGATTAAATTTTAAATGAAACGAAAATTTTTATAAAATGAAAATTCAGTCATTGATGTTTTCTTTAGAATAAAATAAATTTTGACAATTTGCGCAATTATTTATTTAAATAAAAATAAAAATAAAATAATTCGCCTCGAATGCAATTCTTTATCCTTCTGATACAATGTGTTAAATTTAAAACACGCATCTTAAATTAAACTGTATTTTTTTGTCGAAACTCATATCACAATCACACTATGAAAATTGTCAACGTATTTTATTTACTTTCTTTTATTTTTGTGGATAACTATTTTTTTTAATACAAGACTGATAGTTTAAGAAAGGGGTATTCTTTTTATTCATGTTTTTTCGACTTCGTTTCATTAAATGACTTGTATGGATATTTAAAAAGTTAAATTTAACCTGGCTCAAGGCTACAGTATTGGAGCACCTAGGGAGAATCAAATTCACCGCACTTAGTAAATTAGCACACAAAAATAAACACTGTGCTATGGCAAGCTCTTAGTCTTATTATTTACAAAGTTTTACTTAGTCTGACACAAGGCTAGCGTAGGGAAATATCCAGTGAGGATCAAACCAACTGCTACACTAGCGAATCGATCTGTGATACCAGCTCGTTAGCCATAACGCTACAGAAAGCAGCCTTTTAGTAGTAAAAACTGTGGTATTAAGATCAGCAGAATGGTCACTTGTAAACCACGTACAGACTGTATTAGTTGTTTTTTTCTGCTACATTATGGTGAACGTGCAGTTTTTTGTGCCAATGATGGTCAAATCACGCGAAAAAGTGTAGTTCTTTTTCTGAACATCGACGTTAAGCAACGTCGAGTCTGGTCAGTGCTTAGATGGATGGCCGAATCAGTACACCAAATGCTGTCAAGAAGCTTGTAACCTTTGTCCAAACTAACAAAAGAAAAAATGGAAGGAGAGAAAGAGACTACGGCCAATTGTATGATGAAAGCAATTCCCGTTCGAAAATTAGTGGAGGTACATACGTTATTGAAGTTAAGCAACGTCGACTCTGATCATTTCTTAGATATTTAACCATTTAGGAATCTCAAACTAAGCAGTTTGTAGTCTTGTGCCAAACTGAGTTATTAAATGTCTGTCTATTATATAATTTATTTCTAATCAGTTTTGTAATGTTGCATGAGCATTACGATAACCAGCATATATATATATATATATATATATATAGAGAGAGAGAGAGAGAGAGAGAGAGAGACAGAGACAGAGAGAGAGAGAGACAAAGTCAGACTGGCAAAATTCAGAGAGAGTAAACGAGAGAGCTAGAATAAGATTTAAAGAGCAAGAAACAGTCACTGTATGTATGTGAGAGAGAGAGATTAAACTAAACAGCGAGAGAGACAGAAACATAGGGGAGACAAAAAGAGAGAGAGAAGTAGAGATAGAGGAGTACAGTGAAGCAAAGAAAGAGGGACAGACTGAAAGACAGTATGAGAAACAGAGAAAGAAAGAAAGAAAGAGACACACCCCGAGAGATAGTGAAAAAGAAGCACAAAGAAAGAAAGAAAGAAAGAAAGAAAGAAAGAAAGAAAGAAAGAAAGAAAGAAAGAAAGAACGAAAAACACTCGGGTAGAAAGACTAAGAGAGACGCAAGCAACAAAAGAAAAACAAATATACACAAAGGAAAGAAGAGAAAAGGCAGATAGAAAGACAAACTAGTAAACAAAAGGACACGCTCATATAAACATATACAGAGAGACAGACAGATAGAGAGGGTCCGTCTATTTAGATGAAGAAGAGATCAAAGATTATAAAATAGTCACGCGAAAGTATGACACATAACCTTGTGGTATGACAGTCCGTTGACGAAATGAGATAAAAAAAAAACAACGAAAAGAGAGACTTACCTGAGTCACAATAGTCTTTTGCTGATGATCTCGTCTTTCGACACCATCATCATCGTCACATATGCCGTCGTTGTCGTAGTCGTTGTCGCTATTCCCAATCGCTTTCGAGTTATTCCGATTGTCGAGATGACTGACTACGCCGCCGTCATCTTCTGCATTCGTGAGCGCCTCTCTTTCATCAACAACCTCATTCGCACGTTTTGCACGGTTCAGACGATGCTTGAATATCTCCTCTTCCCCTTCGTTAAGCGAAGTCTCCGTATCGCCGTCGTGTGAGGAGGTATTAGACACTGACCGTTTCGAGAAGGGAGAAAACGAACAGTTAGAAACGGGAGAGTTTGCTTCAAGTAAAAAGGAAGATGAAGCCAACTCGGCCGCAGACTGGGGAGCGAATCCAGATCTATCGGTGCTAATAGTTCGGGAAGAACGAATATCCGTGGTAGCTTGTCTTGTTGCAGATACGCCTTTCTCTGTTCCTGACGACCCCTCAGCCTTTTCCCCGTCATGAAGAAGATGCAACTGAGATGAGAGTAAAGTAGTCAGTGTAAGTTGAGGAGAAACACTGTTGCTACTGTTACTGTCGCTATTACTACTGCGGTGGCTGGCACTCATAGTGTAACTGCTGATCTTGTTTTTGTCAGTCGATAGCACATTCTCGTAGAAAGCCCCACGCTTTTGCTGTGCCGGCTTCACTTCTTGCTCATTCGACCCCCGCGTCTCGCCGCTAGTTTCATCGCTGGCCGAAGAGATAATTCTGTATCGGGCATGTTCACATGTTATTTCTTCGGTACTTTTCGACTGTCCTTTCTTTAACATGTCTAGCATACCCTTAGATCTTAGCTTCAATTTTCGCTTCTCTTTCCAGCTGTCCACGCTGCTACTGATGTCTTGGAAATTACTGAACGGCTTGACACTTTTTTTTCCGACACTATCATCGCTGGACGAGCGGGTCACAGTGTTAAAAGCAATTGGGAAATCCATGAAATTAGCCTTCAACTGTTTAGTAACACATTCTGAAAGAGAGAAAAATAAAATGATTTTAATGAATTTAGATTAAAAAAAACGGACACTAAAAACTGAAGTGGAGATACCACTACTTAAATATAATTCTTCAGTTATGGAATGATACATTTTTTGTTCGCTACATGTCACAGACAGGGTAGGATTTCTGTTTCTGTTTATGTTCTTTGTTTTTTTGTTTTTTATTATTTATTTATTTTTAATAAAGAAGAAGAAGAAAAGATAGAGATGAACACAATGGCATTAGATATAAATTTAGACAGATATGAACAGACTGAGATGCAGGTGTCACAAATAAGAGATAACATCGTTTAAACATAATCATAAAATGCTCTAGTGACACATCTTCTTTAAAGGAAGAGATATGAACAAACTGACATAGATAGATAGATAGATAGATAGATAGATAGATAGATAGATAGATAGATAGATAGATAGATAAAATTATTAAGATATGAATGAGATAGATAAAATTATTAAGATATGAATGAGATAGATAGATAGATAGATAGATAGATAATAGATAGAATTATTAAGATATGAATAGATAGATAGATAGATAGATAGATAGATAGATAGATAGATAGATAGATAGAATTAAGATATGAATGAGATAGATAGATAGAATTATTAAGATATGAATAGATAGATAGATAGATAGATAGATAGATAGATAGATAGAATTAAGATATGAATGAGATAGATAGATAGATAGATAGATAGATAGATAGATAGATAGATAGATAGAATTATATAAATATGAATGCGATTAGATAAATAGATCTGAACAGAACTGGATAGATAGATAGATAGATAGATAGATAGATAGATAGATAGATAGATAGATAGATAGATAGATGTGAGCAGTCTCTAATAGATAGGTAGATCTGAACAGAATAGGAGAGATAGATCGATAGATCGATTTATAGAACATTAAAATTTGAATGAACTTAGATAAATAGATAAACAGATTGCGATAAATAAATTATATGCATGTGTCGTAAATATTTTATGTAGAAATTTTCTCTAAAATTCTGTATCGAATGATATATATGCATTTATATATATATATATATATATATATATATATATATATATATATATATATATATGTGTGAGTGTGTGCGTTAGTGTGTGTGCGTTTATCTATGTGTGTATCAACACACTCTCAAACACATGCGTAAATGTATGCGAACACATTTTCAAATATCCCAAAATTAACATATTTGAACATGCATTCGCACACGTCCATTCACGTGCAAATTGTTAGATGTGCTTTTTTTTCAAAACGTTCTTTGGTGGCATTTTTATGACGATGCATTGCTGCAAAAGCTTTTCCGAAGCTGATGCCTCCGATAGGGAAGAAGGGCCAGCCGGCAGCGAGTGCTAGTCGCGTGCGAAGCTCTTGTCGAACTGTCTGCCTTCGGGTAGAGAGGAACCCCAGACAGGACACTGCCCTTCGGCATAGCCTCGTCTGGGGAGGTAGACAAACCCGACCCTCTGTATGCATGTCTATAGGAAATTTTTGCCCGAGCCTACGGGCTAGGATCTGCCCCACTTAAAAATAGACCTTGTGCCACATCCTGCCTTGTGGGGAGGTTGGGTAAATATCGCCTCCGATAGGGAAGAATATAATAACTGGGGCCGGGCCTAACAAAGAAAAGCGGGTTCAGTGACTTAATAATTTTGAGTTCAATCCCTGAACCGGATAGTACGGATATACCAAGGACTAGTGGGACGTAACCTATCCCTTTTCGGACGGGATTTGATTTAGAATTTTCCTTCTGCCCTATAGACTCTAAAGAACCCAATTTATTTTATTATCGAGGAGGGTTTGTATTCAGTGTTTTTCTTCTCATAGACTGGCTGTAAACCAAGGCAATAGACAATCGTTTTTCCTGCTATTTCACCCATAGCTGGAGCAAAATTAATTCATAAGGCATGAAACCAATATATGGATTCACACGTAACGAACAGAACTTTGTATCTTTCTGAGGCGTAACTTTGGGAAACTTAACTGTTATATCTTGATAGCCTACGTGTTGAGCATTGTTTGTTACTATTGAGGAAGGTGTCTATCTTTTGCCATTTTTTCTCTTAGTTTATGCTCCATTTTCTTGTTTTTTTCATATCCCGTTTATTATAATTTTATACATACACATAAAAATGTCTTAAAATAAGCTTTGTCCATTTCATTATATATATATATATATATATATATATATATATATATATATATAGGGGTATAATATTTTGATTTTAAATACAGATTAATCTCTGATTCTCGAAATAGACATATCTCCTTAGTTTCGTATCATAACGTAAACAAAGCAATTTGTAAAGAAAGAGGTGGATTTTTTATTTATTAATCCAACAGATTTTATTACTTAAACATTATTTTTAATGGAATCTCGTATTTGATTATTTATTAAACAGTATATTTATTTATTTTCGTCTACCGACCTGAATATTCGAGAAATGTTATGAGAGAAAAATATGCGTACGTGCGTGCATGCGTTTGTGTGTGTGTGTGTGTGTGTGTGTGTGTGTGTGTGTGTGTGTGTGTGTGTGTGTGTGTGTGTGTGTGTGCAGAATTAATGGATTTATTTTTAATCTGATATTTGATTACTCGAAACATTATTATGGTGGTTACCCATACTTTAAATAGACGTCCTGTTGTTATTTGTGAAGCTCTCCGTAGTTGAGCAGTAAATACACGTCGGTTCAAACGGTGGTTTCCCCCTATAAAAGGGGAATGCAGATTCGTTCCTGACGGAGAGAACAGTTTCTTTATTAAGAGATCCTGGAATCGCAAGACGAAGACTATCCCTCTTCAGGAACCCTTTCTATTCATAGCTAGTGTGGAGAAGAGAAGATAAGGATATTAGTCCGACTGTCATGCCACGAATCCCGTGATTCATTACAGACATTGGAGTACCACAGGTACTGCAGCTATAGCTGTAATGTGTGTGTCTAAAGCAACATATCCTAACGGAGCCTATCTCTCTTCAGGAACCCCTTCTATTCATAGCTAGTGGGGAGAAGAGAAGATAAGGATATTAGTCCGACTGTCATTCCACGAATCCCGTGACTCATTATAGTCGTTGGAGCACCACAGGTACTGCCGCTATAGCTGTAGTGGGTGTGTCTCTTCAGGAACCGTTTGTATTCATAGCTAGCGGGGAGAAGAGATGAATTCTTTAACTTTCCCGTGATTTTCAGTTGAACTGGATGTGCGGCTAATAATATAGTTAGCGACTCAGAAAGTCAAATTAGTGAGCCGGGTTTCAAATTCCGGACGAGTTAGTTGCGTTCACTTTCATACGGTGCAAAATATTATTTTCAAATCGTAGCTTAGATGTGACACAAGGATCGAAGTCACTATTCAGTTGTAATTTTTCTAGCGGGACAAGCTTGTTAGCCATTACACCACGTTGAGATAATCCACACAGTGTGGTAATGATAATATTAGCCTTTTACTTATATGAAAAGATTTGGCGTTCATTCGCCGAGCAGGCATTGCCACTCTCGGTTTAAATTTATAAGATCTTTCTGTTAAAACAATTTTCAGGAAAATGAATTTCTCAAGTCCAGTAACTGTTATTGCTCTTTCCAGTACTGATGTGTGTGGGGAGGGGGGGTCCTTCCTAACCTTTCATTCAAAGTAGTGTTGAACGTTGGCATCATGATTGTTACTATTGTGTCTTCAACTTACATGAACTTATCCATTTTAGTTGTTACTGTTGTTGTTAAAAGACCTCAAGTGATGTGTTTTTTGTTATCTGGTAAACTTCTTTGTGATTCTGTAGCGCCAACTCACAAAATTCGAAGAAGTATTGTCCTGTCTAAAACCTAAAGAGTCCATACGCTTGAAGCCATTTGCTTATATACTGTTAATAGTTTAGATATCTCGAGGCGAGTTTGATGCCATCCATGGCAACTCTATGAAAGTCTGACGAGGCTATGTAAGATGACTCTAGTTATTAGAATAATGTTTTGGTTTTATCTTAGGCGAAACTGCCGTTGGTGCATTGAGCTGAGAAAAGAAATGATGACTTGTAAAGCGTAAGAATTTCACTCATCACGCGTTTTCAAGTCTGACTGTGGCCGCTCTGCTGGGTGATGGGTCTTTTATTGAGTAACCATCTCTGGATAAATTGCTAACCAAGAATGAAGAGCTTCTAGCTAATACTTAACACACCCATCGACGGCTTCCAAACAGTTTCGTCGAGTCAACTTCACAAGGCCTGACTCAACCCATTGTGTGGTTTTCGGTCACTTTCCAATGGCTCTGCACACTGAAATCATCTCCACAGGACGATATTACCGAGGTCAACTTCTTGACTAATCGACCATCATTATCATGATCACAAGTACCCTAAACCCATTAGGGTCGTAGAGGCACCACTTGTACTGCAGCCATAGCAACAGAGAGTGTACCTTGGACAAAGATAAGCTTACGGAGCGCAGCTCTCTCCAGACTGCCCTGACTTCTGATTTTTCCTTTTCCTACACTAGTTGCCAACCAAGGCTATAACACCCAATCCGTCCTGCTATTTATTAATAGCTGGGAGGGAGAAGAAATGGTTCTATATCTCTCCATGGGTATTTGCGTGTAAATGAAAGTAACGAATTTAAATGGATTTCGAGCTCCGCTCTCCGATTTTTCATTCATTTTTCAATTACACCACCGCACACCCATAAATCGACCATAATGCGATTCGAAACCTCATGTCCAGAACAGGTCATATATTTCTGGCCGATTCATTGAAGTAAGTTTAATATCCTGCCTTTCGCTACTCCATCGCTATATCCATGGCATGTGTTCTGATGAGCTGCATTCCTTGGTTCCACCAACCCTGACCCTTTGCAGCTGGAACCCGCAATGTCACACACACAAGAATTAATCATCCTCATTCACTTTGTATTCTATTAATAAGAAGAAAGTCCCACTCGGACAG